GACCCCCTTCATTGCTCGCGCCTTTGCCCATCGACTCATGCCTTCTGCGCTCGGTCCCCTTCGGCTTTAGTCAGCACCAGTTTATCGTCAATACCGGAACTTTACGGCGTGTGACGGACATTTTTCTAAAGACAACTCGTCAACCTTGACAGACAAAATTAACAAAAATCTTGGGTAAAAATTTGAAAACATCCAAGGGACCGACAACCACTCTCAACACCATCATTTTCCTCACAAAATGCAAGAAAATGTGATTTTGGCAGTGACCAGGATCCAACGTTGCAGGTTAGAACAGATGTGTTCTGAAATAAAGTAAACTCAGGAACGCCTCCACCAGGCCTAAGGGTTGTGGATAGTAGAATATCGTCAAAAAAATAGTAGCCTCCACCAGGCCTGCCTAAGGGTTATAGCTAGTAGAATATCGTCAAAAATATTAGCCTCCACCAGGCCTGCCTAAGGGTTATAGATAGTAGAACATCTTCAAAAATGGTGGCGTCCACCAGGCCTTCATAATATGGGTAGAATGTAATAGGGTCAGCAAAATAGGGTCAGCGATTGGTCAGGAGACTGAGCCACATTAACGGGTAAAAAGGTCATCAGAAGGACATATAGTGAACAAACTCCTCTGTTAGTCAGGTAAATTTTTAAATTGGACATACAGATCAGAAACTGACCTGCCTAGCTGCTGCTGAGCTTGGCGTGCTTCTCAGCACCACGGAAGGTTCCAAGTGTCTGCAGTGCCGTCTCATCAGTTAGACGCCTCCCTTCCTCGACGTTTCGCCCCGTTCTGCCTAAGACGTCTCTGGGGGGTGGGGCAACGGAGCAGGCGTCCCTGCTCCGCTTCAGGCACTGTCACCACTTCTCTGGAAGGACTTCCACGCCTTATCCTTTCTCCTCAGCCACAACACGAAACTGCTTCTTTCTGCTTCCTCAGTCACCTGTCTAGTGAGCTTTGTCTGGGCTTTTCCCCTGATGTTGAGGTCCCTGCACAGACGCATGAAGGAAGTCCCTACAAATCCTCTTACTCCGACTTCTACTGGGTATAGGCGCGTCTGCCATCCTTTCTGCTTGCACTGCTGGACCAGATCATCATATTTCAGTTTCTTTCTTTCAAATGCTGCTTGCACATTTTCTTCCCACGGGATTGTCAACTCAATAATCAGTACAGCTTTCTGATCCTCGGACCACAGGACTAGATCCGGTCTAAGAGATGTCTCACAGATGGTGCTCGGGAAGTGGAGTTGTCTGTCCAAGTCTGCTCTCATCTCCCACTTTCCCCTGCACAGAATACTGCTTCCTGAGTTAACTGTACCAGTGACTGCTGTTGATCTTGGTTTCTGACCCTCTTTCACAAACTGGATAGACTGAAAGGATGATGATGTGCTGGAGGATTCCTTTCTTACTTCCTCCAGCTTCACTGCTAGCTGTCTTAACACCTTGTTGTGTCTCCATGTGTAGCGACCTTGTTGCAGAGCAGTCTTGCAGCCTGACAGAATGTGTTTCAAGTCGGCTTGAGCTACCCCGCACAGCTGGCAAGACTCCTCGTTCCTATACAGGAACGAGGAGTCTAGAGATTACAGATCAATATGAACGAGCGCCTAGTGGCCCAGAGGCGTGCAGCTAACATTTGTGAGCCATTCATCAATCAATCAACCAATCAACCAATCAATCAATCAACCAATCAATCAATCAATCAATCAATCAATCAATCAATCTTTATTCAAACAACTAGCAGACGACAGTCTGAATTGAGTTGATTTTACAGTGTATTAAGTTTCACTCACTCACTCACTCACTCACTCACTCACTCATCATCGCATGCTCACCCATATTTATAAATGTATATATCTAAATATCCATATATCACTGAATGAGACAGTTGAATTTGCATACTTTTTTAATATGAAGCACCATTTCATTATATATTTATCATCATATAAGCATATTATATCAACATAGCAAAATTACACACATCGCTTTAAACTAAATTCTTTTCTCATTCAAAATGTGTAAGCCTTTCTTAGATATGCACATCGGTTCTAAATCAGAGCTTAACATCTACATTTTCAAGCAATTTGTTGATTTTTCATCTGTAGTAAACCGGGTAGAAGTAAGACACGTTTGGCTGCAGTCACTCCATCTCGCACTCGAGTTCTGCTTCGACCTCCTCGATGCGATCGGTGCGTTTTGTTGCCATCATGTCCAGGGGTTTCGTCTTGTGCAACTGTAGTTATAACAAATACAGAAAAAAGGAGACGAACTCGTTAAGTTTGTAAATCAAGACGTCGTATAAAAAGGTACAAATTTGACTCATAGACTTCAAAGTGACGTGTGAGGTGGGTGGTCACTGCAGAAGGTGACTTGGTGAATACTCATAAGTTTTCTATAAGTGTTTTTACAATTATATTTAACTCCATTTGCAAACTCTGTGCATTTTCATGTATATGTACGTACGATGCACGCAACCGCTCACGGCTAGCCGTAGCGTGCAGACCACACTCTTGCACCTTGCAAAACCGTGCGAGTGACGTGCGTCGACGCCACTCCTCCCCCACGTTTGCAGAAAAAAAAATAAACGTAGCAGACGTAGCCTCCCAAAAACGAACGGAAAAAAAGCACGTACGGCGGGTTGTGACCAAGGCTTAAGGAGGCTAGGTGTCTGTGTGGTTTTAACTGTAGGTTATGGCAAATAATCTTTATGGATGACATCACACATGCATTTATTTCCGCCTGATTTTGCCTTAAAAAAAAAATACACGAAATTTTGTTGCCCCCTGACATTGGTCAATATGCAGAATATGGGCATTTTGCCTGTTTAATGGTTTTGTCTTTTAATCTGATGCAGTGATGTGTTTTATTTCTTTTATATGTGATGGTGGCTGTGTATATGTGATGTTCCCACAAAATCAAAGCCATTTGTACATTGATTTAAAACTTATTTTTGATAATGACTCAGTGACAAATGGATGTTGTAATAGTTTGCAGTAAACCTAGCACAGCTAGGTACCATTTCTTGTTTAACAAGATTTATGGCGTGAAGTTTTCAAATCTTCGGCCCACCTTTGCCCACTCGCATTAGAATTGGAGTCTAAGGATGCTGCTATCCATGAAATTTACTTGCCTTGGCCTGAGTTCTTTTTTTTTCTGGTATAGTTTTGCATAACACTGGCCGTGACTACACAGCATAGGGTTCCACCAGGGAACATTGATTTGGCTAGCGGTTGGAGGCATTTTCAGTGTTAGAAAATGATTCACACTAAAATAGCAGGGCGCCAAGGATTATCAAAAATGATTCCGTGTTACAGAGTAGGTTCTTCCGGTCAGAATGCTTCCTTTCGCATAAAAATTGGATGAAGTTGAGATTTCCTAGAATTTTTCAAAGTTTACGATTTTGACGTTTTCATCGGGATATGCTTAAGCATTGGTCCTATGGGAATAAGCTAATTAGTCATGGCACCAAAAGAGACCATAATCAACAGTATTTGACATACATTTTATTGTAAATCTTGCACTTTTCATGCTACAATCTTCAAATTTTCAGCATCTTAGTATTAAACAGTTTGCCACAAAGGTCTTTAATTACGTCTTTTTGTATGCAAAAGTTAACACATTTTTTGCTAATTATGCTAATGTTACATTTGGCTATAATTACATCATTTTCTTGGATAACGAGATTCCTAAATGAGCTACAAATTGTGAACAGAAAGTCTATACTAACAAGGCATTCTGTGGTCCAACAAGGCATTCTGTGGTCCTAAATTCCCTTTAGAAGTAAACAAAGCATTTAAAAACTAATAACAAAATAGTTAATGGTATAAATCCAGATGACAAAATAGTATTTACTAGTCTACTACAGAGGGCTAGTATGACTTATGGAATGACTTTACAGGAACTTCTAAACGCCAGAAAAGTATATTGTTTGTAAATATGTCTGAAGATTTTTATATTCTGACACATATTCAACTACCATATTTCAATTTCTAAAACCTGCAGCGTCTACATTATATAGAAAAAATGTTACTTCATGTAAAATTCTAACCAGTGTATGGACATGGAAAAGTACAGGTTTTGATAAAAGGAGGAGTTTTTCCAAAAGTCCTGCCCAACGCAAGCGTTGCACATACAGAGTTTGAAGACTTGACTGCAGTTTAACATATTGTCGACAGGAGTGCTTTTGTACCATGGGCACAATAATAGGAATGACAGGCGGTATACAGAAATGAATATGATCAACTGATATAATTCATAGAAATGACCTTATTTTCATATTACATGGCAGAAATTGCATAAACTTGTCAGTCGGAAAAATAGTAAAATTTGCTAACGAGCAGGATTGCAAGCCATCTACAGGTACGTGGCCATCAACATGTTTGAGATTTACAAAAACAATAAACATTCCATGACATGTCAGCTAGATGAAATTTTTAGTGCTTTTGTAAATCTAATTTATAGTGATGAGGTGCTCATTGGCACAATTTTAATGCAAAATATTCGCATGGCCCTAGCCTATAGTAACATGAAACACGGTGGTGAAGTCCTTAAAATTAGGCATGAACAAGTGGGGTATTTTATTTTATATGGAAGCTAGAGACTAATTTTCAGGTTTTATGCACAACCTCATACTTTCGTCAAATCTTGTTAATCGTTTAAACTGACTAATTACCTTCGCAAAGAAGGTTATCTTTTCGTAGGCGTTCGCGTGTCTGTCTGTCCGTCTGTAAACACAATAACTTGAGAAGGCTTAAATGGATTGACTTGATATTTGGTAGGTGAGTAGGTCCTGATGAGACATGGAAGGGTCCCCTAGCAGCTTCCTATGGTACTGCTGCTGAGACATATGCTCATATCTCATGACATAGGCATGCTAGGGTCACGAAATTTGGATGATAGGTAGCTCTTGTGGGGAAGAAGTGACATAAGTTTGGGTCCCCTACCAGCTTGTTCTGGAACTGCAGGGCCATTTATTTAATGATATTCAAAGAGGATAACTAAAGAACCGGTTGACGGATCAGCATTTTGGTATGTAGGTAGCTAAAGTGATTCTTGACATAATTATTCTTAGCTATTCTTAGACTAGCAGTCCCTCAAAAGAATGTAAATTAGGTCCTGATTGGAATAAAATATGTATAGTAATGTTCACCTTTACTGATCTCCCAAATATAGCAAGTATTGAATTCCCTATACCACTATACAATTGTAATAATTTTTCATTAATTATGCAAATTAACCTTCATTCACATAGTTGAAATCAGATGGTTCGCGTCATTTTTCCCATATCGGATATAAAAACTAACGCAGGATAGCACAAAGCTGAAATGGACGCGGGGTGAAATTTGCACCAAAGACGCCGTCAGTTGTTGGAGGAGGAGCGCCCTCTGGCGTCCTGAAGCTGAAGGACTGCAGCAGGGTCGAGAAGAACAGGAAAAGCTCCATCCTGGCCAGCTGCTCTCCAGGACACACGCGTCGGCCTGGAAATAAAGAATGCCAAAAATTAAGACAAGCCAAACAACAAAATTTCTCTGGGTGTAACAATGATATCTCTGATATCTGACAAATAATTACCTCCTGAAAAAGGCATGAAGGACTCAGGTTTGTTGATGATATTCCCTTCCGCGTCCAGAAACCTTTCGGGGTCGAACCGGTCCGGATCAGGCCAGTGGGCGGGGTCCATGTGCATGGCGTACAGGTTCAGCAGTACCTGGATCGAAACAAACAGAAAATACGTTCCACAACTAGAAAGGCCGACATTTGCTTGGGAGCAAATACAGCATATTTCAGTCCATCCACGCAGAAGTGGACTATTCCAAACTTACCCCAGTGCAAAACTGGCAAAGGTTCTCAAATAAATGAATTAAATAGAAGCTATATGAGAACAAAGATGCAACAACAAGTACTTTGAATCTCGAAAGCTTTACTAATCTTATTACAGGTATGCAAAAACTAACAATGATGAGATTTGATACATTTTGAAGGTCTGAGGCACATAAAATTGAATGTGTGGGTCATTACGCACCACTTAGGTGCAATGTGACCTCAGGTAACCCACAATGGAACATGTGTTCCATGGATGGAACCGGCCATTCTTTAGATAGAACATGGAACGGGTATAGCACTTTTGGCCCCTTTTTTGCTGAAAATAGCTATTAAAGTCCCCCAAATGAGTCATTTGGAAGTGATGTATGCGAAATACATGACTGCTATTCTGTAGACACACGTTCAAGGTACCCTTATACCGAATTTCAGATCATTTGGTTGTAAAACCAGGGCTCAGGATCCAAAAATTCATTTTTTGGCGAAAAATGCCCCAAAAAAACTTCATAAAAATTTTCAAAGGCATGTTTTAAAAAAATGAAAAAAACGCCTGGGGGTATTGGCCCACTCAACCTCCATGCCAAATTTCAAGTCATCTGACTGAATGATGGCAGAGTTGAATCCCTTTGACTGTTTGGCAGGAGGAGAAGAAGGAGAAGAAACATGAGAGAACACAATATATTTCATCCATACCATGGTATGGACTGAAATATAAATACTACAAACAACAGTTCGTTAGATCTTTCCTTCGAGTGGAAAAGATTACCACCGGATACCCTCAGCCACATGGCCACATATAGAGTAAAGGGGCCGTTTTGCAGCGTTAGAAAAAATCTGATTAATGGCGGGTAATAATACCTGGGTTCCCTTCGGGATGTCATATTGCCCCAGTTTGACGGTCTCTGTTGTGGCGTGGCCCGTGAAAGGTGCGGCGGTCCGGATCCTCATGACCTCCAGCAGACAGGCGTTCACGTAGGGCAGCTGGGATCGGTGGGACAGGGCGGGCAGACCCCCACCAACAACGGCATCAAGCTCCTGCTGCACCTGTCCGAACAAACACATATATGGAGTACTTGATAAGGCCACGTTGATCTGATTATATGAATGACATCCTCTGGGAACCACAAAACTAATGCGAGCATGCGAATAAAAAAATGGCAAAAAGAATCCTGATGCTCATGAAGGTTGAACTTTTTTTTAATTGGCATGGTGAAGAATGGACTATTCATTTTCCTTCCTTCACATGTCCTTCTTGCTCTTTACGATGGATTATAGCATTCTATGACATAAGTGTCGTTTTCCAATATTTTTTTTTTAAATTACGGCACAAGTACATATTTGCTCATTTTGCAGCTACCTACGATTTACGGTATGGTCAAAATCTTATCTTTTTTTGTAGGACGGACAAAAATTCATGGATGTCATCAATATAATCAAATTAGCATGCCCTAAGATACAGTAGTCTTAATTCATAAAAAGGAGAATAGGCACAGGCAATAAATGATTCTTAATGCTGGGCTCAATAGGATCCTGCAATAATGACCACTAAGTATGCCACAGTGTATACATTGTATACTCATGCCATGTCGCATTAGTGGTCATAACTGCAGGTTTGGCTGTAAACTTCATTTTACCTTCCGTTGGATGGTTGGGTGCAGGACCATGTAGAGTAGACTCCATCGGAGGGTGCTTGAGGTGGTTTCCGTGCCTGCCATGAAAAGGTTTTCAGCCATGTGTGTCATGATGTCCCCCGTCAGACCCTCCACCTTCTCCTGCTTTTCAACCTCCAGCAGGCAGAAGTCGATGAAATCTCGCGGGTTCTCGCGATCCAGGTTCTCGCGATGGCGAGAAATCTCCTCTTTTATCACATTTTGGACCTTCGAGAACGCTTGTAAAGCATTAACGATGGCTGCATTCACTGTAAAATACGAGGATAATAGTAGAACATAAATACAGATTTGCGAAAATCTTTACTTCATGATGTACTAAACTAATGTAATATACAATAATTGCGGGACTATTGTTATAGTAGATACTTGTGCAATGTTATTGCTATCAGTATTATTTCTTACACGTTATTCTTCGTTAACGTTGTTATCTATCTATCTATCTATCTATCTATCTATCTATCTATCTATCTATCTATCTATCTATCTATCTATCTATCTATCTATCTATCTATCTATCTATCTCCCTCCCTCGCATATATCTCTCTCCCCTGACAGTCCCTAGGAACCTGCCCCTCTTGCCAACAGCGGTTCATCAGCCTGGTCATTGGTTCTGGATAGAATGTTTTTGGTTTCTTTTACCCAAATGAAAATTGTAGTTTGAACGATAAAAATTGAGTTTTGAAGGATGAAAATTGGCTTTGACTGATGAAAAATTGGGGTCTGAACGGTGAAAAATTGGTTTTGACGGTGAAAAATGGGTTTTGAACGGTGAGAATTGACCCATTGAAGCCTTGTTGAATTTGTACCTTTGATCTTTCGTATCCCATTACCCCGGATGTATTACGTGCCATCTACGCCCAGGCCAAACATGTTTTCTTCTGGGCCGCATTTCTGGTGGGATTCTTTTCATTCTTCCGGAAATCTAAGACGGCCGGAACTAAGACGGCAGGAAGCTTCAGCCCTGTCAAGAAGCTATGCCGCAGACTTCCGGTTTTTTGCGTTGGGTGCAGTGATCAGTGGCCGCTGGAGTAAAACAATCCAATCCCAGGAACAGACCCTCCAGATACCCACCCCCGTGTTACTGGCTCCCCCCTGTGACCTACAACAGCCCTGGAGAAAGCGTTCTCCAATATAACGAACCCCCCCCCCCCAGCAAATGGGGTCGGATTACTTGCCGCTGACACAATAACTGACATTGTTACGGCAGTCGTTACACCTGAGCGGACCAAGTTGAACGGACACAGCCTCCGTCGCGGCGGCGCGACTTGGGCTAGCGACTGTGGCGTCCCAGCCGACCTGATCAAGCTGCAGGGAGACTGGAAACCGTATGCATACCAGCGATACCAACTGTAACACTTAAACCTAAAGGACAATTGTAGAATGTACGCACAATGACACAGTCCCTAGTATAGGGGAGACAGTGTCTCCGAGACACCATTGAAACGGTTCTCCATTGAAACATATGCTAAATCAGACATGAAAATGGGCATCATATCTCTAGTTATGAAGTTTTTGTCACACAAACTCACCTTCACGTGTTAGCCAATTTAATAATATGTACCTACAACAAGTTTCGGAAAAAAGTGGACGGCTAGTCTCGAGGTACAGCCTTGTTTATAAGAATCCGTGCACTTTGACTCCATATTCTAGGTCGATACCAAGGCACTAGGCAGGAGGGGTGTATGACATCAGACAAGCCCATAACAAGGCAATTTCATGAAAAAACTTTTTTTTTTTGCAAAAAAAAAAAAAATTTGGCAAAAACATTCACTCACAACCCTACACAATACAATCCACCACAACAGAAATACCACCCAAGAAAGGGTTTTAAAGCTCTTTAACTCATGTTAATTTTGGGGTCTCTCACCCAGCAATTTGAACCCGCGTCACCCCTATAGGGTGTTTGATTTGTAAATGACAGTGTAGAATTTAGATTACTACCGTAACCCTTAGTGTAGGGTTCCTTTCCTTTATAAGTTTTATATATAACCACCTGCATGCGTATACTCCTTTATCTCTGACTGGGTTTTTTGGAGAAGAAACACGGCGGTCAATTTCTAGGGTAAAGTTTCCAATTCTACGGAGGGGTATCAGGTTACCGGGGTTCCACGCGCGGGTTCCGTGGTGCCAGTCTCAACGGTAAACATTATTTTCATCAGTTATAAACAGTTTCACGGGGACTCTCTTGTTCAAATGTGATAAAATCCGCACTGCATATAGCTCAAATGTTGGTGTTTTTATTACAATGCTTAAATGTGCGTGAAATCACTCTCGACGCGTCGAATGCTTATTCTAGAACAATCGACGTCAATAACCAAACAACTGATTTAAACCGACCCCAAATCTCTCCGAAAATTCCCTATATTTACATTTTAGAGAACAGTATAACAAAATTAAGATTTGAGTAGGACAGTTTTCTTCATTTCAAAGTTAAAGTGTTGGTAAGATAGAAAAATTCGCCCAAAAATGCACTTTTTCAACTTTCAAGACGGATAATTCCAGAACGCCGCCATCTTTAAAAAATCCGTCCGACACAGATCGAGATTTTTGTCTTACCTACAATTTAAAACGTTTTTGAGGTAAATTGAATTTGTTTTTGTTGCGGTTTAAATACCATGTTTGCACGCATGTCAGGTCGTGTGAGTAAGTACAGGGGGTAACTTATATCCCCGTAAACAACAATTACGATCTTCAAGGTCACACACGATAACGGCAGTAGCTTCGTTACATGTTACATATCCACTATAAAACAGGGCATAGATATTCGGTACCGAAATTGGTTTATATTTGTGAAAAGGTGATTTTTTTTACTGTTAGGCGGTACCGTGTAAAAACGGGCTTGAAGCCGCGGGTTTACTGTACATGACCGCGGGTAACCCCGGATCGAACGAACGGTCGGTTCGATTGACGTCATATCGAACATGATTCGATTCGAATGACGTCATATCGAACATGATTCTGTTCGATGAAAAGGTTGGAATATTTGGGCCCAAATTTGACCATCGTGAAATGTATGTATCATTGTTATTTTAATAAATGATAGCATCCAGTCCAGCGTCGTACTTTTTATGCTTGGATTAAATGTAGAAATGAAGTGTTTGTCGCATACAGAACTCGAAGCGTAGCTAATTAGAACCAGACGGGTGGGAGGCAGGCCCGGGGTCATTCCCGGCCTGCCGGCGTGACACTGCACGAAAACTTAGATTTACCGGGCCATTATAGTTGGGTAATGTTTCCTTTTTTTACACACTTTTAATACCGGTCTTTTGAGGGTTGTAAAGGAAATCACTGCAATTAACCTTTATTTACTACGATTGTGAAGCCATATAGTAAACATTACCTGAATTTACAACATTTGGTAAATCCAACGTTCGTGCAGTGATATATATATATGAGGAGCGGTAGCGGAAATTTACCCAACCGCCCACTACCAAAACATGACAATAGAATTCTCTAACAATATATATAATACCTTGTATATACTACACCCTCTTCACAGGAGAAAAAATGTATTTACCATTGTTATTTTAATACTGCCTACTTAGAAGCTAATGAAGTAATAAATATATATATACAGCGTTGTACCTACCGACAGGAACAAATCGTAGCAAGGGGAAGACGTTGATGATCTGCCCGGCTCCAGCTTCAGCCGCGAGCGTGTTAAGAGCTTCTGTAAGTTCTCGGAACCTCTCGTCCTGGTAGTCATAGCGCTTCCCCATCACCATGGAACAGATGACGTTCGCGACAGGCACAGTGGCGTCATGGGCGATGTCAAATGGCTCCCCATCGTATTCTGCAATCTGAACAGAATTTGTCTAGATTAAGGTGCCGCCTAAGCCAGGATTTCACTCATGTGGAACGGCTGGCCAAACTTTGCCGAACGCTAATCTATTCACAAGAGGCCTCTCCTCTGGGCCGAGATTAGTTACACCGCCTGCCGCGCGGACCGCAGGTCATAAATCTTGCATGGACCCCAGTACTTTCTCGGGTTGAAAGACAACCTAGAAATCACATCGCGCCCCAAATACCACATTTCAAAACAAGAGAGAGTGTTCTGTGACACGTACGTGCGGAAATGTACTCTTTCAAAGAATTCATCGGTCGATATTCCAGAAAGATCCAGCGAAAACGCCGAGGAAAACGCTACTTGGATGATACCAACATGGGAGAGGTAAGCACTGATTTACGTGGGAAGGAAAGGTTATAATCTACATTTACCGGTAAAATGTTAGCATATGATAATATGTATACAAGACAATAAAAATATACAATAAAGAAAACAGAAGGATCGATAATCACTGCTGTAGTCCTAATAGAATGTCGATTTTTTTTCCCGCAACACAATGCCTGACAATGGATCAGGCGATCCGGGGTCACTCACATTATCAGTAAACAAGCCGTTACCGAGCTGTCGGAAGCCTTGCTCAGCTACACAACTAATGTGGCATATATTAATAGCCTACAATGCTTATAACAATATTTGCCAGCTTCGACGCAGCTAGTATGGCCTTCCCTCTGTCTAGTTTATCTGTTTTCCCTTGTTCAAAACGTAGTTTCTAGCTCTGCAGCCGCGCCTTGTTGTGTCCGGCCGGCCACGCACCGCATCTGGAACCTCCCCGGGGGGCGCACGCTGCCAGGTCAGGCTGGGTGATTGACACCTCATTCTGCATACATTTTCGGTTCGGCAAAGTTCGGAGGGCCGTCAGCCAACCCTATACCCTGTTTTTTGTGGCATTAATTCTCGGGATTAGTTCGTGCCATGCCATATTTGGAGTCAGGTCACGATTCTGTCACATGTGGGGCGTGTCCGTATAGCTTTACTTTCCGGCGGCCGTGCAGGGTGAGCTAGCCACGGCGTGCCAAGTTTTGGACGAAAATCAAGCACTTTTCCGAGATTTTCTCTTAACTTAAGTAAAATCTAAGCAAACTAAATCTATACGGACATGTCTTGGTATGTATAAAATTGTTTGTGACCAATTTTTGCGCAAGATTTCGATGTTTTAAGCCACTAAACTTGTCACAACCGAATGGTGATTTTCCACACCGGAAGTTCGTTTTTCAGATCATATTTTTGGTACAATCATCCATAACTTTGACAAAATAACTTTACAGCAGTTATCCCTACATTGTTTTGTACATTGTGTGTGAGTTTCATGGAATTTGGTTGATAATTGCACACGCTACAGCGTTGAGAATAGGTCAACCCCCCTGCCCGCTCAGCGCGGTCTCACGAAGGTATGTATCCGCATAGGGTTTCAGCGCGCGGCCTAGAGGGTTTCCGCATGTGGTGCCCAGCGTAGGGCGGGGAGGGCGTGTGTCGGGGACGGGCTAACCAGGGCCCGCGGCGTTTACTAACTCTCCCCGACGACCAACGAGGATGGCTCCCAGGGTAGTCAGTTCTATTCTGACTTTTCATATCACATGTTAGAATAAATGATTCCTCATTACTGTACAGGTATCATCATTGACTCAGTACACAGTACACGAAATAGGCCGGAAGAGAAAAAAAATATAAATGTATAATATGATTGAGGATAAAGCCCATCAACATACTGCCCATGGGAACGGCCCAGTACTATCGCACAAATATTAGAGCGGAAAAGTTCAGGATTTTACATGGTTCATCCTCAGATTTGTCTTACCCTGTTGCGGAGACAGCTCGCCTCCTCTCGGATTTTCTCCTCAATGCTGCCAGTTCCGATCTTCATGCCCAGTTTTCTCATGACGGCGGTGGCAAACTTCTTTCTCTGTCTGAACTCAGGTCCCCAGCGCGCAGTAATTATGTCTACAGAAACAAATAACACATCTTTAACATGTAATTCACTACCATACATGTCACATCTTCAATGATGCTGCTCACAGGACACCAGACAACATTGACCCTTTCTGTCACAAGATTGACAAGTATATTCACGACCGTTATTAGAATGCCCTAGGTTTCTGTTGTAAGCTTTTATAGTTTCTTTTCATTTATTTTATAGTTAGACTTAGATTACTTTTAAAGTTTTATTGTTCGACTTATGTGAAGAAAAGCACACAGTGAATTACAGGTTTACCTTTTCCAAAATCAACCATCGCATCAAGCAGGTACATTGGCGGCCTGGAGGCGAACAGCTCGGACCTGTCCACGAGCGCGTCCTTGACGGCAGTGTAGCCGTTCAGAACCACCACATCTTCCATCCCCATCCTGACGGTGAAGACGTCCCCGTACTGCCGCCCCCACGCCGTCAGCTTGAGGTGAGGCGCTCGGCCCAAGGCGAGGAGGTGCCCGAGAACAGGCACGCGTCCTGCTGGGTAGGGGGGTAGGTTTCTGCGGCGCTTCAAGAGGAAACACGCCAGAATGAAGACCGTACAGAAGACAAGAAAAGACTGCAGATTCAGCCCAGAGATCTTCAAAATCACCCGGACGGACTCACTTATCCAGCCGACGATGGTGGCCATGTTCCCAAAGAATGCGCAATTACACCCTTTTGCCGTGGTAGTAAGAAAATGGGTGGAGAAACACTATGGTTTGTGGGGATTAAGTACATTATATATATATACCTTCACAGACCAGACATCCTGTATTTCAACGAAAAACAACAAAAGACATGTTTGGTCCATTAAATAACGGGAGGGGCTACTTCCTATTTGCGTACATATACAGAGAGAAGGTCTATTTGCTAATATTTTGTTAATGTCAATGCCAGTCGGGTGTAAAACTGGTACTCTCATGCAGCCAAGCTGTGATCTGTATATGGTCCTCACCTACGTGTACATACGAGCCTTTACAGACCAGACATCCTGTATTTCAACGAAAAACAACAAAAGACATGTTTGATCCATTAAATAACGGGAGGGGCTATTTCCTATTAGCAGAATGTAAGGCGCGCCGACGCGGATGCCGCCGTAAATTGATACATGTCTGACGCTGGTACCGACGGTCGGCATCCTGAATCACTGCCATTGTGGTTGAGAGGGCAGCAGCCGAGCACGTTTGTGATTTAGAGTTAGGAAATGAACACTCTAGTGCGGTCGGCTGCCGGCTTGATCACTGTAAACCACACATAGCTTTGTGTAGAAGATTGGTGACGGAAGTGTACACAAACCGTGATAGAACTGACTGTTTTTATGTACTTTGATTATATAATCGATTGTTTTATGGAATTCCCACACCGTGGCATAGCAACACTGAACGGCAGACCTGTTACAATCCCTTTAATCAAATTGATACCTAAATCTTTCGACGAGTCATTGAACTCATGTGAACTTCGTTGAACTTCGGGGAGTGACCCCAAAGGTCACTCAGATTCAGCAAGATAGATGAGAAATTAATCAAATCGCCGGTCGCTCAGACGAAATGACGGGCGAACGTCAGGCAGGTTTCCTGCGTTTGATAGATGAAGTCTACAACTTACTCATTTTCGGCTTCCAATCAGATTGCACTATTTTTGACAAGTTGCGCCTAATTTGGCATGGGCGTGGACCAGAATTTAGAGGATAAATTCGAGAGACAGTCATCCAAAAGACAGAATTGAGAACTCACAGAATACACAGAAGACTTGCGATTCCAGAGAACACTCAGACTACTCGCCACGTGCCGTTCTGTGATCGTGCTGCCACCGGGAATCGTTACGTCGGATGCAGTAAATAAATCGTCGAAATGGAACTTTGATTGACTCCTTTGTCTGACCCACGAAACCATCTCAGTAACTTCTAAGCTATAAGGCTCAGAGGTTTACATAACACTGGTACCCTCATGCAGCCAAGCTGTGATCTGTATATGGTCCTCACCTACGTGTACATACGAGCCTTTACAGACCTAGTAGGCATCCTTCCATCTCGAAAGATGATGGTAGCACTCTTTACAGACCAGACATCCTGTATTTCAACGAAAAACAACAAAAGACATGTTTGATCCATTTAATAACGGGAGGGGCTATTTCCTATTAGTAAACACTTGATCTGTAGTGACGTAACATCCGCTCTTTTGTTGTGAGGATGAACACGACCGAGTCAGGAAACGCGTAACAGTTTTAGAATAAAGAGGAGAACAAAGCTCAGCACGCAAGTTTGGCATCTTATTTAGAGATTTTTGTCACAACAGGTGATGCACAAAAACGATAGTCCAGGAAAGGAAGAAGCACCTAAAACTAGGTTCATTTCAGTCTACAGTTACATCTGTTCTATTTTGTGATGATTAATAAAGATGAAGTAGATCCAATCGAGAAACGCTAAATTAACCATAAAGTACTAATCAGTAAACTTTGCCGGAAACTTTAAAAATGCACATACTTCAAAACCCAGAGTATCTACCTAACATGTTACGTTGAGCGGGAAGAATTTGAATAGTGAGCCAGGACGGGGACAATAAGTACAAGAACGGCGCGTTTAAAGGTAGACGTTAATCACGAAAAAAAAAAAACAGCAGTGTTACAGTGTTTTTGGCCCATTGGCGTCAAAGAAAGACTGAATAAAGCTTATTACCACTTGGATAGTCACGAATGAACCCTTTAAATCCCACCAGACGTCAGGTATTCAAGCTTTGTTTCAGGGCAAAGGTTAGTAATTAGTCTGTCAAGTTGTTGGGAGGGTCTCTATTTATGGGATACCTGTCCTTGGCTTCATACACGGGTCGGCTCTATTCTGTGTCTGGCGTATAAACAAAATAGCTCAATCTTCTACAAACCTGTCAGTTTCAAATATGTTTGTCGTTACAGAACCTCTTGTAGCAATGAAAAATCCTACAATCCATGGAAACCGCGCTATAAATGATACAAAACAGCAGAAAATCCACCAGGTTCTCAATTCTAAGGGACTGTTCAGAAAATACCCGGGAGGGGTCTTTGAAAAGACTAATACAACATTGTAACAGGTCAACATCTTGTAATTTCCATTTTTCCACATTTTTTCATAAATATCTTTTGCGCAACCTGCCTCCTTTTCCTCTTTTTCCCCGTGTGTACTTTTAGCCACAACCCCTTTCTATGCCACCCCCCCCCCAACAGTTACTCTCAGTCGTGTAATTTCCCCAAACTGAGCCCGTACACCTGTGCCCGAGGCACTCCTATATATAAGCCTCCAGTCTGGTACGCCCCTCGCTGGTGTCAAGGTTCAGACAGAGAAGGGGCGAACACCATGGAGTTCGGGCGCGTTTTTGCGCTTTTCCTGATAATTCCAATTATTTGTGCTCATCCATGCTGGTCGACGTCAGACACATCGAACAGCTTTACTCAAAAAGCTGAGTCCTTGTTTCAAGGTAAGAATTCAATTTCTTGCCATTTTCTCACTGTTAGTACCTCATAATATATAGCTTCAACTAATGCACATTTTCACTGAGCACCTTTGTTTTTGCTAGACTTTGAAACTTTTCTAAAGCGACTTACTTACATGACACTGTGTCCTAATAGCCCTCCTTCAATATCGTAGAAAAGTTGATAACCCAGTCACTTTTACAAAGCAGTGTTACCTCCTTTTGAAGAGTGTCTAGGATACTCGGAATTTTTTTTGGTTGGTCCGCCTTGATCGACTAAGATATTGTGGCAGATTCACGTATTAACTTTGAGGACGAATCGTCAAGGGGATATCGATATTATGGAACTATGTGAGATTATTAGCTATGTCTAACCTAAAAGATTATCACTGTTTTTTTGCTGAGAGCTTGAAGTTTTTTTTTTTCATATTCCTTCACACCCTCCCCTTTTCTGGGTGTACCTTCGCCATTACTCTTGGTGATACGACAGAAATGATACTCAACCAGTTCCCCAGTTTCGCCCTAGGCATTTACTACGTGCACTCTCCGCATACAGGGGCACGTACTTGTTGAGGCTCAGGTTTTGGGTGGTGTGATTATATTTGAACATCACACACACACACACACACACACACACACACACACACACACACACACAAATACGTGTGCGCACACATTTGATTTGATTTATTGAAATTCCAACAGTGCAATACACGCGAAAGAGAGGCAGCTGTTGCTGGTGTTGTGTCCCGCACATAGAAACGAATACTTAACAGACAATACTTATTTTCACACACACACACACACACACACACACACACACACACACACACACACACACACACACACACACACACACACACTCTGTGCGTCTCTCTCTCTCTATCTCTCTCTCTCAGTCTCTCCCGCCCACACTCACACAAACACACACACACACAAACCACACACACAAACACACAAACACACACACACACACACACACACTGTGCGTCTCTCTCTCTCTCTCTCTCTCTCTCTCTCAGTTTCTCCCGCCCACACTCACACAAACACACACACACACAAACCACACATACACACACACACTCTCTCTCTCTGTCTATCTCTCTCTCTCACTGCACGAAATCAGGTATTTAAGCAGTCTTAAAGCATGCTTAAAGGTTCCGTTTTGGCACTCTTTAAGCAAATTTAAGCCAATCTTTACGCGTGCTTAACCCTACCTAGACCGGGGGGGGGCTAAAAGTGCCCGCGGCAACTTTGATGTCACCTAGCGTCTGAACGGCTAGCCGTAGAACGGCTAAACTTGGTGACTTTTCCTAGAATATTGTTGGCAACAATTCTCTATCATTGGAATAAGATAATGATTTTTTGTGTTGCCATGGCAACGGGTTTCTGACAGGCATTTTTTGCTAAATTTAGTACTTTTTGTTTCAACAATAGAATTTTATGGGTTTTATGTCAAGTTACTCATGGTTTCTAATATTAATAACATCCCATATAATTTTATGTAAATTTTATCATTAAATATGCATAATTTATGCTAATTTGATGACGTCATTGGCCAAAATCCAAGATGGCGGACCATATCATTAGAACAGGTATATACAGGTTATTTTCATTAAAATTTCATCAATACTTCCATTTCTTTTTCCAAAAAAGGTTTAAAGTAAGGTCTTTAGTATATT